ATCTATCTATCTATCTATCTATCTATCTATCTATCTATCTATCTATCCATCCAACCCATCCATCCACCCATCTATCCATCTATCATCTATCTATCCATCCATCTATCATCTATCTATCTATCTATCTATCTATCTATCTACCTATCTACCTATCTACCTATCTTCTGAGACAGGGTCTTGTTATTTATCTCTGGCTGTCCTTGAACTCACAGAGATCCACCTGACCCTGCCTCTTGAGTGCTGGGGTGAGCCATTATGCCCAACATTAACTTTATTTTTTAACTTGACCACATAAGTGCTAGCTCTAAAAATCAACTTTTAGAAATTATGTAATGTTGCCAAGTGTGGTGGTTCATTCCATTAATCCCAGCACTCTGGAAATAGAGGGAGAGGCAGGTGGATCTCTGTGAGTTCAAGGCTAGCCTGGTCTACAAAGCGAGTCCATAAGTGAATTAATTCTTTTTGTATAGGGATAGATACTAAGGCTAAGTGACTTTCTTTTAGCTGCAGAATTTAGAAGGAAGATGGAGTGCAAGGACAGGACAGATAAAAACAATCTGCTTGATTCAAATCCTTTGCTTCTTTTCAACTGAACTGAGATCATTCCCAGCACAGAACTTAAAATGGCTAACAAAAGTAGTTTTTGTTTATACATTTTACAAACAATAAAGCATATTTGGAAAATTCTCAGAACTCATGATTTTTGGATCTTACCTTGATCACCTCTGGCGTCTGCTGAATCAAAACAGCTGAAGTACTATCTTTGGCTTTATCACCAACAGGGCTCCTACAGACTGAAGGGGTGGCCTGGGAGGAAGTCGTTAAGGTTTCCTGGAGAATTTGCATCATTTCTTTTTCTTGTGATAGGCTCCCTCTGCCTGACTTGCATTCAACTAGTTCTTGAGCAAAGTCTTCAATGCTTTCCAGAATGCGAAGTAAGAGGGCTCGGTCTTCTTCCTCTATTTTGTGTCCATTGTTTTCAATAATCCTTGTTAGACAAGAAGGGGCAACCTTTTCTGAAGGTGAAGAGACTATAGGTTTAGGCTCAGGATCTTCATGGGTCTGGCCAGTCAAATGACCATGACTATTTAGAGAACCGATGCTTTTATCCTTGGTAAGTGGCTCTCCTAAAGAGGTCTCCATCTTCTGTGAAAATGATTCCAAATCCATTAACAGTTTGTCTATCTCTTCATGACTATTAGGATTCATAAAGTGCCTCTGGTCTCTTAGTTCTATGGTAGGAACTTCTAATTTAGATTCTTCCTTAGGTGGATGAACCATCATCGGTTTTTCAAATATCTTACCAATTTCATTTTGCACTGAGGCAGGGCATTTTTTAAGATGAGTATCATGATCTGAAAATTCTTTATATTCATTTACCTTTAATGGTTCCTGACCTTGTCCATTCTCTGCTTTTTGTCCTTTATCTAATGATGACTTCTTTCCGTCTGACTCTTCTTCAATATAAAGAGTTTCTAGTAAGTTACCAGAAGAAACACGCTCTAAATGATTCATGGTTAATGATGGTGACTGAAGCTGCACAGGTTTTAGACTTCCATGATCTTTTACCTCCAAGCTACACAAGGAATTTGTGTTGTTTGGAGTGGCTTTTACAGTGTCTGTTTGTTTAAAACGATGCTTTTCATCTTGCAGTTCGACACTCTGAAACCGTCCAGAGTCAAGGGCTGAGAGGTGGACAACATCCTCATATTTAGGGGGTTGTTCAGTCCCATATAATGGGGAGAAAGGCGTCAGCTGTAAGTTAGGTATATTATTGACAAGTTCTGCTAAGTCTATGGTCTCATTATTCCCAGACTGCATAAATTCAAATGGTAACTTTCTCAGATAGTATGCTAACCTGGTCATAACATTCATATAGACAGTTTCAGAGTTAGAAATTGCATCATCGCCATTTCCTTCACTGATGTTACCTCCTGACTTTTTCTTTATGCACTGTTTTATGATGTCTGTACACTTTTTCAAATCTTCGGAGCATTTCAGTAAGATGTCCAAGCACATTTTTATGTCTGTCCCAGGAGAAAAATGATCTATTTTATGTTTTTCCAAAATTTGAGTAACTAGGTCTTCTTCAGAAAAGTTCTGAGAAAGCATAGAAGTCAGGTTTGTATCAAATGAATTTCTATGAGATAAAGATTTTTCCTCAACTGAGGAACTCCGGAGTAAGCCAAAAGATGGAGAGGTCCCATCATTATTATAATGGCCACAGAGTAGGTCAAAATCAACTGACCTTCTATTAAATGAGTCAGATTTAACTTTCCTTCCTTTTTTGTAAGCTGCATGGTTTGAGTTTCTGAGTTTTTCAAGAGAAAATTCCTTTATTTTCCCACTGGCAAAGCTGATCGCTTCCCCTGCAATGTCCTTTAAGTTACAGGTATTTTGAAATGTAGACGCTCTCTTGGCCCTGGGTATGCCTGTGAGGGCCTGATGGGAATAGTCTTCAGCTGAGGAAAGCCCATTCTCATGGGGCAAAAACACAGAGTTCAGATGCACATCTTTGAACTGAGACACAGGGATATGCAGGAGGTCTGCGCAAACACTATGATGCACCACAATGCAGTCTATTCCATGTGTGAAGGTGTGGCAGGTTCCAGTGCAATAATGTACGGCTTGTTCGAAACGCCGGTCAATCACCACGCTGCTGTAATGGTTCACAGTGCTGACCACAAGCCTGTAGGTTGCTGCCATACTATCAACTTCCCTCAATGGTAGGACTTGGAACCTTATAGAAGTTGTTTCGAGAAAAATTTCCTAGATGACACTTCACTGACAAAAATTTAATGACAATGTTCAGTGGCTCCTTGCAAAATACGACTTCTTCATGAAGGGAAATCTTTAAATTTGAGGTTTGGTAACCATCAGTACACAGTAGCTGCTGCACATGTATGTTTAATAACTTAAATATTGTACGTTTTAATTTTATTTAGGAACATGATACTACAGGATTATTTTATGAAGGAATATCTTCTTTTAATTCTTCAGTGGTTCTATAATATGAAAGCTTGTTTCCATAAACTGTCATATGAATCTTAGTTGGTAGTAGAGGAATACTGTGATAACTGAGTCCTCCAAAGCCTTAAGTGATCCATTTTTCTGTGAGCGACAGAGAAACCTACGATAAAAGAAGAAAATAATTAAACACATGTAATTAGTCAGGTCTATCTATTCTCCATCATATCACTTGCTGCTGATATTTAACACAGGCCTTTGTTTTCTCACATTCTGTACTCAGTACTTCAAGCAGTACCACAACTCTGCCTTCTTGTATATGGCTAACTGATATTTCCTATGTTCCTCTTCTTGCCTTCTTACATGAGAGAAACAAGCTTATATCTAGACAGTTTTCTAATTCTAATGGCTCAACAATGAACACTATTGCTCTCCTTGTAGATCAAGAATAGTCTTTTGGCTGGGCAGTCGTGGCACATGCCTTTAATCTCAGCAATCAGGAGGGACAGGCAGGTGAATCTCTTAAGTTTGAGGCCAGCCTGGTCTACAGAGTGAGTTCCAGGACAGCCAGGGCTACATAGGAAAACTCTGCCTTGAAAAACAAAAATTGAAACAAAAGAATAGTCTTCTGATCCACTTCCAAGCCCGTAGACATTTCTAACCCACCTATTCCCATATTTTCTACTACTCCCCTGCATCTACCTTCTGCTTCCATCAACCTAGTCTCTTCCCAAAGGCTGCCCAAACTCGGGGGCCTGTTTCTAAATTTGGAAGTTCCTCTATAGCTGAAAATTATTCTATCACCTTATCTGTTCTTACAGAAGAACAACCTTCAATGCTGCTTTTGATCCCCTATTTTTGGACCCTGCTTCATGTACATCTTTTTCTTTCCTTTTACCATATACATAAGATTTCTTTAATCATCCTTCCTTTTAAAAAAATGACTTGTAAAATCTATAGTAGTTGCTTTCCAAAAATGTTCTGTCAGTGTATCCATTTAATGACAAGAAACAAAATACCTACTATGTCCCCTGCTCTTTCTAAGTGATAGGGTTAGAACAGTGAACAAAATAATGTTCACTTGCCCTTGCCCTTTCTGAGGTGAAAGTCCGGTTGGAAAAAAGAATAACATGCAAATAAACATATAATACATTAGATATGCATTATTGAAGCATGGTAAGGATTCAGAAAAAATATAAAGGTGTTTAAAAAGAGAGGTCAGAGGCAACTTTATTGCCATCTGAACAAAAACCTGTAAAAAGTGAGGGAGCAGGACAAACAGGGATCATCAGGTAAATCATATCAGGCAGATAAATCTTAAGTGCAAAGGTCTGGAGGTGGGGGCATATTTGATTTACTATAAGGATAAAGAGATTAATGTGATTGGGGCAGAGAGAAAGCAAGAATAGTATGAGAGATGCGGTCATAAAGGAAAGATGAAGTCTAATCATGCATGATCTGTAGATTCTGTAATGGAATTGAATTCAGCTCTGAATATACTGGAGCACAACTGATGAACAGGGAGTACGGAAACGGCCCAGAGAGACCTGCATTTTAAAGTGATCATTTTGGATGTGCTTTCAGGCACATGGAAGACAAGAAAAGAGACAGGGAAATATACAGGATTGCAAGTGGCCAAGCAGGAATGCTGGGAAATTAGGACTAAGATAGCAACAGTGCAGCCGATGTTTAGACTTATCTATTTCAAAGGTATAGCCAACATGATTTGCTGAACCATAGAATATGTAATATAGATGAATGAAGAACAGTGCACTAAAGCAATGATAGGAAAAAATATAGCACTGAAGGAGAATATAAATTTCACTAATCATCCTTGTTACTGGTGATTGTTTTGAGACAGTGTCACTATGTAGCCATGGCTAGCATGGAACACACTATGTAGACAGGGCTCGCACTGAGCTCACAGAAATCCACCTGCTTCTGCCACCTGAGTGCTGGTATTAAAGTCATGTTCCATTATGCCCAGCACTACTGGCATTTTAACAATAAAAATCTTTACCCATATAAAAACAAAAGTGTATTCGTATTTTATTTCCTTAATCCTAACAACTATTATATTTACTTCATTTGTTTATTTATGGAAGGTAATCTCTTACTATCCTTAACTTATTCAGGTAGTGGGAATTTCATGACTAGAGAAACAATTAATGTAAAAGAATAGTTGTTTGGAGACAGGATCTCACCAGGCTGGCTTCAAGCTTGATTCGCAGGCCATTGCCTCCTGTGTGCTGGGATTACAGACATTCACTACCATGTCCTGGAAGAAATCTTCCTTGTGTTGAAATTTCATAATGGTTAGGGTATTAACTGATGGTTCTTTGGATTAATTACTATTAATGTGAGATATAACCCATGTCCCGAATTTCTGATTCCTTATCCTCTAAATGTTCATCGTGTTTTAGATAAACTGTTGAACTGCCAATTTCAAGAAAAATTTTCCTAGAATTTGAGTATAAATGTAATAAATGTGATTTGGAAGGAACACTGATATCCTTACAGTACTTGGATTTTCCACCTGGAAGAAATAAATGTTAATTCTAATTCTAGCACCTTTCTCTCTCTGTTTGTCTTCAGGTGGGTATAAATGGGCATCACTTTGTAGCCTCAGCTGGCTTCCACTTCTCCTTCTGCCTCTAAAGAGCTGAGATTACAGGAGGGCATCACCACACCCTGCTGCCTAACACTATTTTTGTTCCTCTGTGTCTTAATTTAGTTGTTACATGAATGGAGTCTGAACTAACTACTGCCTCACCCTCAACTTGTTTGTCTTCAAATTCTCAAAATATAAAACTAGATATATTCAGATTGGATGAAGCTGATGCAGAAAAAAGTTCAACAGTACCAGAAGTATCCAGCAAGCAATTAAGGAAAACTATAAAGTAGCACAACCATAATATGTGTCATGGAACAAGTTAAACACAGCAATGAAAGGAATTACCTTTTTAAAAGACATACAACCAGAACAACCCAAGCACAAAGCACAGAAATAGCATCAGCTTAGGACAAGATAGATGACTCAATGGTTAAGAGCACTTGTTGTTCCAGAGTACCTGAGTCCAGTTCCCAGCAACCACATCAGACAGCTCAGAGCTGCCTCTAACACTAGTTCCAGGGGATATGACACCTTCTATTGACTTCTGGGGGCACCTGTACACACACACACACACACACACACACACACACACACACACACACACA